CTTCTTTTCTTCTTCCTTCTTAAGTTCTGAGAATCAAATCCAGGGCCTCACATGTGCCAGGCAACTGCTCTTCCTCTGAGCTGCATCCCCCGCCTTAGTGAAGAGAAGTTCTGAGTTTAGTGACGTCTAGATTATCACCTGATGTTTTTCAGGGATCGTTTTCTGTGTCTTATATAGGAAATCTTTTCCTACCCCCAGGTTGGGTGGCTGCTTCCTTGTGTTTCCTTTTAGATTTACCTTTGACATGGTGTTTGTAGTAATTCTGTACCTGGTGAGAGGAAGGGGACCAGGTTCATACACACACGCGCATTCATTTTCTTCAATTGCTTCCACATTGTTGAAAAGATTCTCATTTTACCACCAAATTGCACTGGGATCTTCATTAAAAAAATCAATTGTTCTATTAGTTATGGGTTTATTTTTGGATGTTCCTATTCTATTTCATTGATCTCTTTCTCTTTCCACCAAGCCCGAAACACCTTGATCGTTGTTACTTTAAAGTGAGCCGTGAAATCAAGAGGCGTGGATCCCAAGGCTTTGCTCTTTTTTAACTCTACCTGGCTGTTCTGGAATTCCCACGTAAATTTCAGAATCATCTTGTCAATTTCAACCCAAAAAGGCAGCTGAGGTTTGAAAGGGATTTTACTGCAACTTCACGGTAGCCAGTCCTTTCCTCTGAAGACCTGGAATGCTCTCTCTGGCCTGGCTCCTTCAGAATATTTCTTAGCAGAACTCTGCCATTTTCATTCACAGGACTGACTTATCCGTATTTTAAAAATTTATTCTCAGTCCAGTCATAATTTGACATTGGCATTTGGCTTATAGTTTTGGGAGGGAAAGGATTTAAATTTTTGTCATGAAGAAAATGTTTGAATATACTTTCTCCTGTAGATATGACTCGGGTGTCTAAACTGTCCAATTATGAAGAAGTTGGATATGATTTTAGAAACTCTGAGTGACTGTCCAACTTTTTCAACCACTTTTCTGCACCTCTGTGCTGTCTTCACCTTCCCTGTTAGTCTGTTAATGTGGCAGACGACAGCAACCCTTTTTCAATTGTTAAATTAACCTTGCATTTCTGAGAGAGACCCCATTTTGTCATAATATATTATATTGAAGATTGTGATTTGCTAATTTTAAAGTGATTTTTGTATCTATGCCTATGATAGCCATTGGTGCACTTGGGGGAAAAGGTCACTGTCTGACTTTTGTATCAGGGTAGTATTGGCCTAGTGTGATTAATTGATAATTATTCCCAACTACTTCACTATCTGTGGCCTTTAATGCTCTGTTGGTGATATTTCTACTGCACCCAGAGACCCAGAGTGAGTTCTTCTAGAGGCTGCCGCTCCAACTCTGTCTTTTCTTGCACACGTGACTGGCAAGGACATTGAGATGGCTCAGTGGGTAGCCGTGTTTTACAAGCCTGATGGCCTGAGTTTGATCTCCAGAACCCAAAAGGTAGAAGGAGAAAACCAGCTCCCACGAGCTTTCTTCTGACCTCCACACAGATGCTCTGTGTGTGTGTGTGTGTGTGCGCGCGCGCGTGTGTGCGTATGCACACATGCGCACACACAAGCATAGATAAATAATCAAATAGATAAATGTGTAATGATTTGTTAAGACACAAGGCAGTAGGGCCCTGAACCCTGCCATGGAGCTCGGGAAGTATGTCTCCATCTTCTCTGCCCACCTCACAGAGTTGTTTCTGAAGTTCACTGCGAACAAGGAAGAGTGTGAGGCGCAGAGAAGGGTAAATCTCTACCGAGGTTTCATTTCCCACCCCGCCATGTGATTCAGGATCCCCACACCTCTGCCTTCCCCATAACTCTTTCTTACGCCATTTGTTTCCTTAGTCAGTAGGAGACAGCACAAACTGAGTCTCTGCTGGAGAGAGCTCACTACTCAGCCTCCAACATGGAGCTACCCCCATTGTCTTCACATGTGGGGTTTTCAATCCAGTGACCTGGACACCAGCCCTGGTTCCACTTTGACAGGAGAAAGATTTTGCCACAATAATGAATCTGAATTTAGTATCTTTCCTTAGTATGAACCAAGCTGATATATCTCTATATCATCAATCGTTAATCACTTCGTTAATGGCTAGTTAAAGCATACATTTCTAGCTTCCAAATGCTTTTATAGTGAGATCTAATTCATATGACATTGAGGAAATGAAGGTTCAGAAGCCTTGAGGATTTGGTCCAAGGTCAAGAGCCAATAAATGTTTTAGCCAGAACTTAAATTCAGATTTTTCTTTCCATATTTTATTCCTGTTTCTTGGTGGCTTTTTTGGTATTCAGAAAAAAGAGGGACTGTCTTGGGTGAGGAGGACTAAATGGGCTCTCCATACCCATTCACTGCTCAGACATCCACAGCTCATAGAATTATCCACCACTTTTTCTGTAGAAAAAAGTGAAAAGGGAGAGCTTGGGTGGCTGAGCCAACATCATATCACAGGACAGTTCAATACTGAGGCAACCTCAGAACTTCAGAGCCCAAAGTCCTACTGTGGAGTCTTTAGTATTACAAACACAGAACTGAATGCTTTAGAATCAAAGACAGAATGGGCCCAGCACGGCCAGGTGAGGACCTCAGTGATGGAAATAATGAATCTACAGTGTGGGAAGGGAGTAGGTATAATCCCGAGAAGGATGGTGGTAATGTTGTCATGGGAAGCCAAGAACCATGAGTGTGGATCCTCTCGGAAACAGACTGCAGAGTTAGGGCCCATCTGTGGACTGCAGAAGTCAGCAAAACCGTGAGAGTTTATTGCTGATTACTGAGCTACGGGCAGGGACCTCCAGTCATCTGCCTGATCGGAAGTCACAGGGACTACTAGGTGACTATAGATAGATCAATAGATTTCACTCATGACTAGGTCACGTGGACAGTCCATCTGCGATGTCCTCGGCTTTTATGAGGTGGCCACCCCCCTTCTCAATGAGAGATGAAGAGCAAATGAAGAACAATTTTTAGCTCTTCCCAGAATTAGGACTGACTCAACCTTGTGCTTATTCTAACTTTGATTCCTTTACCGCTAACCAAGTAGATGCTACCAAAAGCCACTAGCAGTAATTATCATCATCATTATTATTACTGACCTACAACATTTAGGGCTATTCTGTCATTGCCCCTCTGTTTTCCGAATTTGGCTAGGTAGGACATAAAGTAGTGTTGGTCATCGGGAGACCAGGACCAATGACAGAGGTGGATACTCAGGTGTGAGGCCAACTCTCAGGGTACCTGGGAGGTATGCTCACCTTTAATAAAAGGCTTTCTTGTTGAGATAACACTTCTTGACTCTGTTTCATTCTTTCACGGAAGTAGAGAAAAGAAGCATGCCTTTCCACAAGAGAATTTACGGAGGCTGTGTGATTCTGCTTCTTAGGGTAAAACAGTCCATCTTCTGGGAAAGCATACATGGATGTGTGTCAAATGTTTATGAACACAAAGCCTGAGCAATCTGTTCCAACCATCTGCTTTCCAGGAGAGGCAAGAATCCTTATACAACAGTTGGAGGATCTTCCCGATCATAAGGTGGTCTTTCTGGAGGACCGCCATGGTAGAAGTCCCATGCATAGTAACCTGAGGCACAGGGTATGTGAAAGGGACTTTCAGAATAGGGGTCAGGAATTTGGTTCCTCAGTTTTTCTGGTCTCTGGATATAGCGGTACCATTACCAGCCTTGGCTTCCGAAGCAGCTGTTTGGAAAGCGCTCGAAAGCCCAATGCATTGTTTCCATGGAGAACAATGGAAGAGAGGTGAGTAGGTTTTCTTGTGCTTGACAGCTAACAAAGCCGACCCTAAGCCACGTCTAGGTGCTGGTTGTGCCTGGCATCTCTGTCCTGGGTTTTAGAGGCAAAGCTGTGGGAGGTATGCTGGATATGTTAGAGAGAGAGCCACACGCAAGCTTTTGAGATTGTCTGTGTTTCAGAGGGTGGAAGGTACTGGAACCAGAGTGTGGGTGCTGGCTGAGGCTGGGCTCAACTGACTCAGCCAATGGGAAGAGAAGGCTGTGTACCTTCCTCTGGGTCCAATATCCCCCCACAAACTTCAGATCAGGTGATGGCTATGAGCCTGCCCGGTGGGTGTTATTATTTTCTACTAAAGAGCCAAAGTGGACACAGGAGCTGGAGCTTTGAAAAGAACGGTCCCAGCTGTGTGTCAGTCACACAAAGGACCAAAAATTGTCCCCACTGTGTGTCATCTGCACAAAGGGCCCAAAATGGTCCCCACTGTGTGTTAGTCACACAAAGGGCAGGGATGGTTCTCACTATGTCAGTCACGCAAAGGGCAGCTTTACTTTCAGATCAGAGCCAGGCAGAAAAATGGCCAGGAAATTATGGTGAAGATCTTAAAGGTGATTTTCCCTACTTCCTCTTCCATGAATTCCTAATCAACACCCTCAAAAGTCCCTGAGGCTTGTCCAGTTCAAACCAGACAGAATTCTATTTAAAACGGAGTCCCGCCGGGCGATGGTGGCACACACCTTTAATCCCAGCACTCGGGAGGCAGAGGCAGGAGGATCTCTGTGAGTTCAAGGCCAGCCTGGTCTAGTTCCAGCTAGTTCCAGGACAGGAACCAAAAGCTACGTACGGAGAAACCCTGTCTCGAAAATCAAAAAAAAAAAAAAAAAACAAAAAAAAAACAAAAATGCCATCGAAGCAGGGCGGTGGTGGTGTATGCCGATAATCCCAGCACTCAGGGCAGGGGGGGCAGAGGCAGGTGGATCTCTGTGAGTTCGAGACCAGCCTGGTCTACAGAGCTAGTTCCAGAACAGGCTCCAAAGCCACAGCGAAACCCTGTCTTGAAAAAAAAAAATGGAGTCCCATTCAGTCAGGCTGTGGCGGCATGTGCCTGTCGCCCTGGTACTGGGGAGGTGAAGGGTCGTTCTCAGCTGCATAGCAAGTTCAAGGTCAGCCTGTGTCAAAGTAAATAAATGAAATTAAATAGATACAGCAACGGTCAAGTTTTATTAAATAAAATGACTACACGAACGCTCACAAGGAAGTCGGCAACACCAGTGGGTTTTTCCCCATTGCACCTTTATTGTCTGCTCAGTTCACTGATCAGAATTACAGATTTCCCAGAATCACACGGCCTGTAGGTGGCGCTCTTTCCTGGGCGCCTCTCACATCTCTACCCAGCCTCTCGCCCCTTTCTGTATTTGTGTCATAATCTGCCAGAGTCCAGGGGATTCTCAGGTTGTTTCCTGTTATGGGGGTGGGGAAGGGAGGTGTGCAAAGCTGGCTCTCTGCAAATCAATAGGCTTTCCATGCTCACCCTGGCTGGGATAAGGAACTGGACAGGCTGGGCTAGGATCTGACTCCACTGTATGCCAGGTAATCTTGGGGAAGATTCCTGGTCTGAGCTCTCCTCCTTCTTCTACAACACAGGTGAGACTCTCCTTTTCCTGGGCTACTAAGAGGGCCCGGTGATTTGTGTACAATGTGTCTTTCCTTCGGGTGGGGAAGGAGACATCTCTGGCCAGAGCCAGGTGCTCACGGGAATTTGATTTATAAAAGAGACTGGTCCCTTAGTGGAGCCTGAGAAGTGACTCCGCCGTGGTGCCGTTTACGGAAGGGGGCAGGCAGAGACCCCATCAGTGTCATTTGAATCCAACCCGGCAGGCTGCTGCCATTTCTGCCAGTGGCGAATGAACACTGACCCTGTCCTTAAGGCGTCCACAGCAGCCAGGCTGGGGCTATGTTAGGAAGCCAGGGAGCAGGGCAAGTCTGTATTTATTCAACCCACCCCTTAGAGAGGAAATAGCTTCATGTGGGTGGGAACCGGCTTTAAAATGTGCAAGGGGTCCTTTACAGAGATCATTGAGCCCCTTCCAACACCCTTGACGGGCCACTAGTCACAGTGGCATCTTTACAGCAGGAGCTGACTGCGCATGGGCTACCCCTGTGGGAAGGCCTCACATCATTCAAATCCCTCCAACTTCTGAAGAGACCTGGCCCCGCCCAGGCATCTCATCAAAGAAGGGGCGGCACACTGAACTTTGAGCTTACCCCGTTTTCATCTCTCACGGTCACAAAGAAAATCAAAATCTGAGAAACAAATGGTTTGCAGGGGTGAATGAGCGACACTGCCAGTGAGCAGCTGACTGCTCCATCCCACGGGTGACCTGCAGGCAGGGCCACACTCCTCTTCCTCAGTGGCAGTCCTTTGAAAACAGGTTGAAAGCTGATCTGTCACTCAGCCCTTGTGCATGCATAATTCTCATTGAAGACAGGGTGCGCTTAAGGTCTGCATGCCCACAATCGGTTTAGATCTCTGACAGAACAACATAAAACCACTTGACAATCTCGAAACATGCACCAGCCAGGACCATGGCTGGTATTACAGGAAAAAAATGTCCTCTGGATGAAAGAGGAGGAGAGGAGAATAGAAGAGAAGAGGGGAGGAGAGAAGAGACGAAGGCAGGGGAAGGGAGAAGAGGAGAGAGAGAAGGGAGAGGAGGGAGTGGGCAGGAGTCAGGAACGAGAGAAGACAGAATGGAGAGGCAGAGATGGGGAGGAGGAGAGCATGAGAGCAAAAGAGACGGACTGGATGAGACACCTGGATGGCTACAGAAAAGACATCCTGCGCTTGATGGAGCAAAGCGATTAAAACCATGAAAAGCTGTGGATCCAGAAGTGCTTCTCCAAATATTTGGTTCATGCTAAAAAATAGAGCACATTTATTAAAAATATATATTTATAAACCTTGTATGTATGAACAGATACACACATCAAGCCAATGAAAAATGAAAAATAAGTTATCTTCCGTATCAAACAGCTGGAAACATTTGATGAATGGGATGCCTGTGAACGGACCACCCCGAGAGCGGGTCCTGGGAGGTGGTCAGCGCTCCAGGGTGAGGCATTTCTTCACCCCTTCGCTCACCACTCATGCCGAAGGCTGGTCTTTCCAGCATCCTGCCAGGTCCCCTGCCAGGGACGCTGAGTTCCTTGTGGCCTGAATGAGTTCCGTTGGATTCATTGTGCTTCAGAGTTGTCTGCTCCTCACAGCAGGATGGGTTCTTTTGGTGACCTGTTAAAAAGTTCGAAGGTGCATTGATGGAGCAGGTGTGGCCCCCTGCAGTGTCTGGTCACCGAGAGGTGGACACACAGGACCCTTGTCTCATGGCCATCCTGAGGCAGCCGAGGCTGCCTGGGGCCATTCACAGTGTGGTATATATGTAGACAAAGATGATGACGATCAGGTTCAGGATGGTCCCAATGATGCCCAGCATGGCCAGAACACTCTCTTCTTTGCTCTCTTTCTCTTGGCCTCCCCGGTCCTCATCATTTCCACCCGTGATTACCATCTTGGTTGCAAATGTCTTTATCTTCCTCGCCAGACTAACCTGGAATGACGAGAAACAGAACAGAGAGAGGTCATTTCTCAGCATCCTAGCTGAGGCCAGGTGGACGGGTGGGGCAACTACAGGATTCAGGACTAGGACCACGGGGCGTAGTGATATCTGCAGCATCAGACATGATCTTGGCACACATCTCTCTTGCTCACTGAGAGATGGCAGAACATGGGGGCTGGACAGACATTTCAGCCAGTCAAGTGCTTGCCTTGCAAATACAAGGACCTGAATTAGATCCCCAGGTCCCACAAAGCCTGGAATCCCAGTGCTGGGGATGGAGACACAGGAGGACCCCTGGGACTCACTGGCCAGTCGGTCTAATCTAATTGGTTAGGATTAGCTTCAGAAAAGTTAGAGATGCAGAGTCTCAAAGGAAACGGACAACTTTCCTAAGGATGACAGCCTGAGGTTGATCACTGGCCTCTACATTTGTGAACACATGTGCAGGTGCAAACACTCATGCCCACCAACCACACACACACGCGCGCACACACACACACACACATGCACACACACACACACACGCACACGTACACACACATACACACAGTGTCAGAACATAAGTTACAAATTTCAAGGATAAGATATTAACAACATAAAGAAGTCTAGGCCTCAGGCCACCCCCTCAGTGTAGCTTGTTCTCCCCTGTCCCATGAAGCAGAGACAGACAGTTATCACAGTCACAGTAGAGCGAGTGGGGAGGTTGTGTATGTTTCCATGCTGGGTCAAAGCCAGGAGAGGAGTGTGAGCTCTGTGCTCAGGAGGGCGTAGGGACACCACCATTGCACACACATGTTCTAAAGCTCTGGCTGAGATAGGAACAGGGAGTAGGGGGCTCCGAGAGGAGGTGATGCTACACCCAGAAAGGCTTTCAGCACTTCCTCCAAGGTGTGAAGGCGGTCCCACTAGAGACTCTCGTGGTCTTTGGTGGGAATACATGCTGGCACGATTGTTCTGGAACACCATTTGGCACGACTTAGGAAAGCAAAGAGACAGTTTGTAGCTGGGCACCTGCTCTCCCAGCTCTGTGTGTGTGTGTGTGTGTGTGTGTGTGTGTGTGTGTGTGTGTGAGAGAGAGAGAGAGAGAGAGAGAGAGAGAGAGAGAGAGAGAGAGACAGGCTTTGTGTACCTGGAGACTGAGGCCAATCATCCAGCTGCAGTAGCAGCTGTCCCAGAGAAGGACTGGAGGCTGCCCAGGTGTGCGTCAGTGACCATGTGGTAACAGAGCCACATGGCTGGAATATTCCATGACAATAAGACAGCATTACTGCAGCTGTCCCTGACAGCGCGGACCAAGCCCAGACTCTGGAGGGGAAAAGCACCTACCCGCAGAATGTGTGCAGCCTAACTATATGTGAAGGCTCCAAACAGCCACTGCTGGGCCATGTGTGTTTTGAATTCTGTAACAAAGAATGATGGACATGAAATCCAGGAGAATGTCTTCCTCTAGCCAACACAGTAAGGAATCCCTGGGGTGCAATGGCCTTCAGAGACTCTGATCACTCTCCGGAAGTTAGGCTGGGCAGTGGACACTGGGCTGTTCACTGTTACCATAGTGAACAATAGGTGTACGTTTCTGCTATTCTCTGAACTCCTTGTGTATTTGTAATAGGCAAGACTAACGTTTATATATTAGGGTAGTTAGTATAGCCATCCAGAGGTCAGCAGTTCAACACTTCCTTGTCTATTTCTACCCCAATTATATTTAAAATATGCTGTCGCATGGGGCCTTTGGGGGATGGGATCTAGGAACAGAACAGATTAGCCTTCCTCCATGAGGAAACTGCATCTTTTGAGCTAAAAGCTTTCCTGTATTCAGGGAATATACGGGTGAGAAACGTATGTACGTGCTGGTTGGTTTTTGTCACCCTGGCACAAACACAGCCATAGCTGGGAAGAGAAACCTCAACCGAGAAAACGCTCCCATCAGATTGCCCGTAGGTGAGTCTATAGAACATTTTTCTTGATTAATGATTGATGTGGGCGGGCCCACTTCATTCGGGGTGCTGGCACTCCTGGGCAGCTGCTCCCGAGTTGTATAAGAAAGCCGGGAAGAACAAGCCAGTGAGCAGTGTTCCTCCATGGCCTCTGCTTCAATTCCTGCCTCTAGGTTCCTGTCCTGACTGTGAGTCTGTGATGGTGGGCTGGAGGCTGAAGGAGGAAATAGACCCTTTACTCCCCAAGTTGCTTTCTGATCACATATTTATTACACTAGAAGTCTAACTAGGACAACACGTGTGAGAAGAAACGTGTGTCGCTCTGTGTGTACAGCTACACATACACTCATACAAACACCACACACACACACACCGCACATACCCACCCAAACGTGCTTCCTCACACACCACTGGTCTTGTTTCTCAGGAGACTCCTAATGTACGGGTCACATGATACCTTAGGAGGACATCCCCAGATCACCATTGGAAATCCAGGTGTTAGGAGGGAGGCCCCCCCATGAATGTCTTCTCACCTCTTCTGTTGTGCATGTGAACCCCGGAAAGGCTCACAGAGCAACTCACTACGCTGAGCACAGGACACTGTCTGTGCGAAGAACAGAGGCCACCAGTGACACCTGGGGAGACTGACTGCATGGAGCCAGGAAGTGAGCGAAGAGGTGCACTCTGGGTGGGTTCTGACCCTGACAACAGTCGGGAAAAGTGGTTTGACTTTTCTTCCTTCCATTTTCAATGCTGAGAAAAGGGACGCGTCCTTAAGTGTAGAGATTAAGTATAGATACACTCTTTAGTGCTAAGACTTCAAAACAACACAAAAACCCAGCCTTCTGCATCCTCGGGGACGTCCTTGGTGACCCACTAAAGCCGCTGTCCCTTACTCCCTCGACTCCTAACACCATAGGCAGCTTTGCCTGGTTTGGAATTTTCACAAATGGATTCCCACAACATTCTCTTTCAGGACTCTGGCTTCATTTCCCTGCATCGCTTTGTAGGGCTCACCTACGGGGCGGGTGTAGCCTAGCTCAAACAGTCTCTCTTAGCAACAATGGTCTCTTGACTCTACATACCGGGGACCGATGGGTCTAGTCTACTATTAACGGAAGGTGGGAAGAGTGGGGCTTGGGGTTGCCATGGCTAGCGCTGCTGGGAGCGCTCTTGTGGCACTCCTCTTCTGGTGCCAGACTGCAACACTGCCTAGGAGAACGGGCCCCATGTGGAAAAGCTGGAGGACCCTTTCAGTGAGCATCCATACACCTGCTCCACAATTCTTGTGTGCAGGCATGTGCTTGCTTCAACACACATCCACGCACCCCCTCTCCCCACCGTCTGTTTCAGAACGTTTCAAAGCAAATTGAAGATCTGATGGCTCTCCCTTTAAATACTGCAGTATGTGTGTTTTAATTCTAGTCCCATATCCACTTATGTTTTTTCTAATGTAAAATTTACATGTATGTAATTTCTTCATAGCTACATGCACTCAGCAGAGGAAAACAGGCATGGGGTATGTATGTGTGTACTTTGGTAGTGTTGTCAAACAGATTTTCAGTGCAGTGGCATCTGCTTGATTGTTGGCAAGTGAGAACTGGCTCCCTTCCCCTTGATTTTGCCCACTCCGTGGTCCAGACATTACGTAAGCCTTAAGAAGGTACATAGAAGCCTACTTCTCGTTCTGCTCTGGGTAAAAGGGTCTCCAAACATCAGACCTTTATGTGCTGGGCGTTGTTGATACTCATTTGCTATCTTCTAGATGCTGAGGATTCTAGAGTACCTGGGCCTCTACGTCAGTGCACAGTGCCCAGGTGAGACATGCTGAACGTATGTGCAGGTCCTGTGAGAAACCTGGTATCTCCTGTCTCTACAGGGGAGGAGCTGACGGCCATGGCTGCTCTCCAGAGATGAGATTAGTGCTGTCCTTATAACCAGAGAGCCATCATGGCAGTCACTCAAGCACAACAACTGCCTGTCATCAAGGCTGCTTGATTTCAAGGCTTATTTTAGCCCCTTTCCTGAGTTAACCCCAAATGGTTCTGACTCAGGAGGAAGTGGAGGGCAAAATCAGGTCGCCTGTGTTTACATCCCGAGGACTCTGCAGCTAACCAGAAAGGTCTTTCTGAGCCACAGGACAGGAGAGAGAGCTGTAATCCTGAAGCTGGTCCCTAGTTGTTGTTGCTAGGACATCAGCCCACCTTTCCCCATAGGAACCACGTCAAAAGGGTGCTGGACTCCCAGGGCTGTAACTGAGGGCCCACTGGAGGGAAGTGCTTAGGACAGTGTTTTCTTATGTAACTGGGTAGGGAACAGGGGACCAACAGTGTTGACTAGAGAGCATGATGCTCTGTCTGGGAGCTCAGCCTAGAAACCCGGGCAGTGACAGAAATGGAGTCAAAACAAGCGCTTCCTCCTTCAGGCTACTTTTTTGACATTATCTGGTCTCTACAATAAAGTATGCAACACACCAAATAAAGAATAACTCATCAATTCCAGATAGAGCTTAGAGGAATGGAGAATGTGAAAACCGTGATCGTCAATAGTCAGGAGAAAGGGGGTGTGTCTGTGACCATGGAGGAGAGACAGCTATCTTAAGACAGAAAGGCTCTAACTAGGAAGACAACTATTAATTAATTCCAAGGAATTATGCCTGAGATGCTTGGTGACCAAATACTACCATAGAAATGAACCACAAAAGCTACCACTTAGGATATAAAGACATATGGTTAGTGAGTGATATGTCATGGCATATGACATATGATATACTATATATCTAACAGGCATTGCATATTAGTATCAAATCAGCAAGAAAGCAATAAGCACACAATAGAAAAGTAGGCAAAATCCTATCTAGGAACTTCTCAAAAGAGAAGCCACAGGGAAACTGGACATGGTTGTCAGACAAATGGAATTTAAAACATTATCAACTACCCTTCAAGAACCATGAGGCTGGTAAGAAAGAAAACTCCAGTCGAGGTAGCAAACACTTAACCAAGGCACAAGGCTTCAGGGACACCAAATACAGGCTTCAGGGAGCATCAGGCCGCC